GAGAGAAAATTGACCTCAAAAAAATAACAATGTCAGAGAAAAACAATTTTACCTACGTGGTATATGCCACCCTATGCTTGAGCTCTTCAACTTATGTATCCATCACATATGGGTGGGCAACCTTATCCATTCTCGAATGTGAAGTTACGAGTTAACCAACAACTAAATCAGGGGCAATTTAAGCATAATTTGAGGTGTAATCCATTGATCCAATTTTTGTTCCCAATTTGGATAATCTTGGGGAGCAAGAGAAATTAAAGGGCATGTCTTAAGTCAGGACAAAAAAAAAATTCAACACAAGTATGACTTGCTAGAAGAAAGACTAAAAGTCATTAAAGGAAAAGATATCTTAGGCATTATTAATGCAAATAACCTTAGTTTGTTCCCAGATCTAGTAATTCCATTAAAGTTTAAAAATCTTAATTTTGAAAAGTATGATGGAACTAGGTGCTTATCAACCTATCTCACCATGTTTTGTCATAAGATAATAGGTCACACCGACAAATGATAAGTTTTTAATCCACTGTTTCCAAGATAGCCTCATTGGGTCTACAGTTAGGTGGTATGTCTAACTGGATAAGAGTCACATACATTCTTAGAAGGACCTTGCTAAAGCTTTTCTTGGCCAATACAAGCATGTAATAGACATGGCTAATGATAGGTTGTCACTGCAAAATATGGAAAACAAAGCCAATGAAACTTTTAAAGAATATGCCCATAGATGGAAAATCTTACTGCTCAAGTATAGTTGTCTTTGATAAAAAAAAAGATGATGATGCTTTTCATTAATACTCTCAAGGCACCATATTATGATAAACTTATTGGCAATGCAATGAAAAATTTTATGAATATGGTGATTTCTGGTGAAATGATAGAAAGTGCCATCAAGAGTGGTAAGATTGAGACAAGTGATATATCTAGTTCCAAGAAAGTAATGCCACCTAAGAAGAAAAATGGAGAGGCACATGTTGTGGCCTATGGGAATCAACCACCTAGAAATTTTATCTCATATCTCCGCTACCCAACCTGCTCGTCTTATCACCCCACCTCTCATAACCTTTCCCAAGGTCCATACCTATTTAAATGGTACCACCACTGAGATTCCCATAAAGCTTTTGCCCTCGCATGCTTATTTATGCTTTTACACCTACAGCCTAACCTATTATCCAATCAAATAATTTGACAAGCAATCTTAGAGGTTTAAGGGCCATTTAAGAGAAAACTCCCTTCAATCCCATTCCCATATCTTATGCTGATTTGTTCCCTTAATTGGTAGCAAACCATCTAATTGCACATTATCCTATAAAATCATTGAAGCCTCTATACCCTAACTAGTATAATCCAAATGCTCGATGTGATTATCATGATGGGGTTGCAAGCCATTCTATAAAAAATTACATAGCTCTTAAGTATAAAGTGTAGCACTTGATCAAGAAAAGATACGTAAATTTTGACACTAATGGAAAGCCAAATGTTAATGAAAATATTTTACCAAAGCACGTTAGGTCAATGATCAATGCAATAGATGGCGGTATGGTAAGGCATGTTAAAAGAAGTGTTGATTAAGTTAAAATCTTGATGGGTCAAGTGTTCGAAAACTTGGTCAAAGTTGACATGCTTCACCTAATTCCCTCAAAATAAGTGATCTATCAAGAAAACTATGATCCAACCCAAACATGTATCTATCACATTAATATGGCAAGGCACTTAATTCAAAATTGTAGTATGTTTTGCTAAATGCTACAAATAATGATGGATTCATCCTCGGTAGAGCTTTATGAAGAGGATAATCAGAACACAAAGAATGCAACAAGAAGGTCTTCAAAGAGTATGCCCTCTAAATTTATGCTTAAGCTAGTGACAAATTATTGTCATAAAAAATGAAGTAGGGTGTAAGGGCAATCCTTGATGAATGAAGCAAGAGGAAAATCTATTGAAAGTATGTTCCCCAAGTTTGTGCCTAAACCAATAACTATCTTTTACAATCCAAAACCAATCTTAGTGAAAGAATAACCCATTTCCTTTCCCATGAAACCTATAATAATTCAAGTCCTTAGCCCATTCCTTTATCAAAGTAATATGGTAATGCCATAAAAGTATGATTATAATGTCATGGCACAAGAATCAAATGACTGTCAAGTTGCAAATGACCCAAATGGCACTAGTATTGTAAATATAATTGGGGTAGGTGGAATGAGGAGGAATGGAAGATGTTATACTCTTGGAATGATAGAGAAGGCTCGAAAGGGAAAAAAAGAGATGTTGGGAGAAAGAAACAAGACTCATTCTGTAATAACTCAAGATGCATAATATAAAGAACCTGTCACTAAAAAAAACTTATAAGTTCTTAAAGTTGATCAAACACTATGAATACAATATAATAAAGTAGTTGGGCAAGATGCCTGCTCAAATTTCTTTGTTATTACTGTTGTTGAATTTTGAACCACATCAAAATGCCTTACTGAGAGTGTTGAATTAAACACATGTGGACTATAATATCTCTATTACAAATGTTGATCATATTGTTAAAAGTATTATGCTTTCAAATTTCATAACTTTCAATGATGATGAAATTTCACCATAGGGATAAGGCAATACCAAGGCCCTTCATATCACTACTATGTGCAAAGGACATATCATAGCTAAGGGGGCCTAATTGATAACGACTCTACAATCAATGTCATGCCCATGATTACCCTAACAAAATTATCTATTGATGTATCACATGTAAAGACCAGTTATATGATAGTAAGGGCTTTTAATAGGTCTTGGAAGGAAGTGTTAGGGAACATTGAAATACCAATGCAAATATGGCCATGCACTTTCTCTATAGAATTCCAAGTCATGGAGATTTTGCCATCTTATAGCTGCCTACTAGGATGACCATGGATTCGTAAGGTAGGAGTTATCCCATCATCTCTAAATTAGAAAGTAAAGTTTATAATTAAAGATCAACTAATTAATTTTTTGGAAAAAAAAGACTTGTTGGTAACTAAGCCCATGACTACTCCATATGTGGAAGTTGCAAATAAGGCATTAGAGTTTTAGATCCATTGAATTTATTAATGCAACTTATGTGGAGGAAGGGTCAAAAGTGTATGCTCCACGCTTATCAAGTGTAACCATGATGGTTATCAAACAAACACTAGGTAAATGATGGTGTGTTGGATACGGACTTGGAAGGAATTTGTAAGGAACTAAAGAGCCATCGAGAGTATTTGAAAATTGAGAAAGGTTTGGATTGGAATTTAAAGTCATTATGGTAGAAAGAAAGAGAGCCATGGTTAAAAAAAGGGAAAAGAGATTGGCACAGCTTAAGGGACATGAGCCAGAATATGAAAGAATGATCCACCCTAATCTACTAGAGGACATGCAAAGGGAACTTATGCTAATCATAAAAAAAGCCTTTTTCAAACTCCATGTCTATATGGTGGGAAATAGAGCAATAACTATTTAGGAAGATCATCCTCTTGTTTATCCATGTCCTTTGGGTGAAGAGCTAAACAATTGAAAATCAATGAAGTTGCCAATTATCCTTAAATCTTTCACAAAATAATTTTCCCCAATGCTTATGCCCAAAAGCATTTGGAAAAGTTTTGTATAGGCTTATCTTTTCTTTATCATTTCAATAAAATGACTAGTGTTTTGCACTTTCGTTTCCTCTATTATTTCATTCATTCAAAGTTACAATTTTCTTTTCTTTTTTCCCACACATAAGCCTATATCCTTTCAATTTCACCTATTTTTAGGTTTTCAAATAATGAATACAAGGATAATCATGACGACAATACAAGATTTGACTTTGAAAAACTTATTCACATTGATGAACTTGATAATGAAAAGGATTCGGATAAGGACAATTTGCCCCCTAATCTATTAAAACTAATGGAATAAGAAAGGAAACCAATTGAACCCTTGCATAAGTTATAGACATAGTTAATTTAGGTGATGAGGAAAATATGAAAGAGGTTAAGATGAGTACATCCTTTTCACACACAGAAAGATAAAGGTTGGAAGAATTACTTCATGAGTTCATTGATGTGTTTGTATGGTCATACCAAGATACGCCAAGATCAATTCAGATATTATAGAACATTGATTACCATTAAAGCCAGAATGTAAGTCAATACAATATAAATTGAGGCGCATGAAATCGTACATGTTAAAAATCAAAGAATAAGTAAAAAAGCAATTTGATGTAGGCTTCTTGGAGGTAGCCAAATATCCAAAATGGGTAGCTAATGTGGACCCAATTCCTAAAAAGGATGGAAAAGTTTGAATGTGGGTAGACTATAAAGATTTGAATAGAGTTAGCCCGAAACACAATTTTTCTTTGCCCTATATTGACACTTCTTAGGATAACACCGCTAAGCATTCCATGTTCTCTTTCATGGATGGTTTTTTTTGGATATAACCAAATAAAATGGCCTCTATTGATATGGAAAAAACTAAGTTTGTTACCATGTAGGGCATGTTCTATTATAAAGTTATGCCTTTTGAGTTGAAAAATGCATGACTACTTATCAAAGAGGTAACCCTTTTCTATGACATGATGCATAAAGAAATAGAAGTGTATATGGATGACATGATTGCAAAATCTTGTAAGGGAAAGGACCATGTTACTAATCTTAGGAAACTATTTGATAGATTGCAAAAGTATCAACTCAAGCTAAACCCAGCAAAGTGCACATTAAGTGTTAAGTCAAAAAAATTGTTAGGGTTTATGGTTAGTGAAAGGGGCATTGAAGTTGATCTAGATATGATACTCACCACCCAAAACTTATCTCCCCCACATAACCAAAAGAACGGATTTTCTAGAAAAGCTAAATTACATTTCCCATTTTATTTCTCAATTTACTTCTAAATGTGATCAAATTTTCAAGTTACTTTAAAAACATAATACCAGAACATGGGATGAGGAATGTTAATATGCCTTTGAAAAGATTAAAGAGTACCTATCAAATCTTTCAATATTAGTACTAGCTATTGTGGGGAAAACAATGATTTTATATCTCACGGTGTATGATCGTTCTATGGGATGTGTGTTGGGGCAACAAGATGTAGCGGGTAAGAAAGAGCAAGCTGTCTATTACTTAAGTAAAAAGTTCACTGAATATAAGTCTAAATATTCCCAATTGGAAAAAATGTGCTACGAATTACCTTAGATAGCCCACAGACTCAAGCAAATTGTGTTATACCATACTACTTGGTTAATAACAAGGTTGGATCCTCTCAAGTATATATTTGAAAAACCATCATTATTAGAAAGGTTAGCAAAATGGCATGTCATGCTCTCTAAATATGATATTGTACATGCGTCACAAAAAGTGATCAAAAGAAGTGTGATAGCTAAATTCCTTGTAGAGCGTGCAACTGATTATTATGAGCTTATGAAATTAGACTTTCTTGACAAAGATTTAATGACCATATCCCGAGAGGAGAAAAAGGAGCCAATCGAAAAGCCATGGAAAATGTTTTTTGATGGAGCCTCGAATGCTTTAAGGCATGAGATTAGAGTAATTTTGATATCCCTTGGTGGAAATTATTATCCAAACACTACAAGGTTGGATTTTAATTGCACCAACAATGTGGTAGAATATGAAGCATGCATAATGGGCCTACAAATGGCCATTGTAAGGAAAATTGGAGTTTTGGAAGCCTATGGAGACTCAACCTTGGTAATCTATCAACTATGTGGTGAATGGGAAACAAGAGATTATGATACCAAAAGTATGAAGTAGAATTGATCAAAAAGTTTGAAAAGGTTCAATTCTGTGATGTACCTTGAAAAATAATCAAACGACTGATGATCTAGCTATATTAGCTACAATTTTAAAGTGAGTGATAAGATTGAAATCCAACCTATCCAAATAACTATGTAAGGATCATTAGCATATTATTCAACTATTGAAGAAGAGATTGATGGTCTGCCTTAGTACTATGACATCATGCAATATGTCGAGTACCAACAATACCCAAAACAAGTGTTAGAAAATGACAAACAAATTATCAAGAGATTGGCTATGGGATTTTTTTTTACGGAGAAATTTTGTACAAGAAAAGTTGAGATCAAATGTTATTAAGATGCATGAATGCTATTGAGGCTAAGAAAATATTACAAGAAGTGCATGAAAGAACTTATAGAGTACATGTAAATGGCCACATGATAGTTATAAAAATCATGAGGGTAGGTTATTATTGGTTAAATAGAGAGTGATTGTATCAACTATGCCAGAAAATGCCTTAAATGCTAGATTTATATAGATAAAATTCATGCTCCTTTAATTCCTTTACATGTTTTTATGCCTCCTTGGTCATTCTCTATGTGAGGGATGGATGTAATTGGACCATGACTCCAGAAGCTTCAAATGGACATTGATTCATCTTTGTAATGAGTAACTATTTCACAAAATGAGTTGAAGCAACTTCTTATGCTAATGTGACAAAGGTAGGAGTAAGCAAGTTTATAGAAAGGGAGATAATATATCAATATGGCCTTCTAGAAAAGATAATTTTTTATAATGCTCACAATTTGAATAACAAGATGTTAATGGATGTATGTGTTCAGTTTAGAATGAAAGCACCACAATTTAGCTCCATACCACCTAAAGATGAATGGAGCAATAGAAGCTACCAGTAAAACTATTAAGAGGATAATAGGAAAAATGACTAATAGTTATATGGACTGGCATGAAAAGTTGCCTTTCACACTACTTGCTTATAGGAAATTAGTGCGCACATCTACTGGGACCACTTTTTTTTTTACTCGTATATGGGATAAAAGCTATGTTGCCAATCAAGGTAGAGATTCCTTCTTTAAGGATCTTGATGGAAATGAATTTAGAAGAAGTAGAATGGGTTCGAAATCATTATGAACAACTAAACCTAATTAAAGAGAAAAGGCTCATAGCTCTTTACCATGGTTAGTTGTTCCAAAAAAGAATGATGCGAGCACATGACAATAGACCTTGATTTAGGCATTTTTGTGAGGGAGAATTGGTTTTAATGAAAATTCTTCTGAATCGACATGATAATCGAGGAAAATGGGTACCTAATTGGAAAGGTCCATATGTAGTCAAAAAGGTTTTTTTAGAGGGAGCACTGATCTTGGCAGAGATAGATGGGGATGACTTGCCAAACCTAATAAATTCAGATGCTATAAAAAAACTTTGCCTAATAAGAAAGAAAAAAATAAAAAAAAGAAAAAAAAAGAATCAAAAAATGAAAGAAGACTCATAACTAAAAACCCAAAAAGGACAATTGTGTCAAAAGGAAGGATCTAAGTTGAAAACTAGAAAATGTGGCTTAAATGCAAAAGAAATATCTAAGTGCAAAGGGGCAATGTCTAATACAACGAACTTGGAATGATCAAGTGCATTAATAGAATGGGTTTTTAAAAGGAAAAATTTTGGAATATTATTCATGACTGTTTGAATATTCACTGTTTAAATACAATTCTCTTGTTCAAGCTTCTCGGTAGATACATCCTTGTACCTTCCTTAAAAAATATTCACCTTTCTCTAATCTACCTTGCTTTTTGACAATTTTCATTCTCTCAAATAGAGGAAACACTAATTTGTTACATTATTCATGAAATTTGGAATATGATAAATGATTAATAATTTTCATAAAAGGTTTTACATTATTTTGTGAAAATCAAGGATAACAAAGTCAACACAAAAAAAAAAAACAAAAACAAAAAGCAAAAAAAAACAAAACACAAAAAAAGAGAGAAGATTTGGAAAAGCATCTATTTTCAAATTCATTAATTCAAAGTTAAAACTTGTTGGAAGTAATGTTGGATAAGGATATCAACAAAATATTGTCATAGTTCACAAGAAAGCAACTTTTAGAATATGCAAACCAGGATTGAGATCGATTGTTTAGAAAAAGAAACAAGAAAAAAGACAAAGTAAAAAATAAAAAATAAAAACAAAGGAAGGATTGACTTAAGGAACCTTGTTACCATAGTTTGGTTGCATCATATTGGTTTCTAATAATACTTTCATTACATGTACTACATTCATGAATCACGTTTAATATATTCTTTAGAAAATTTTGAACTTTATTTTTTTTTAGGAAGAATCATTCAAATAAAAAACTAAAGTATGAAGAATGATTTTGAAACAATCACAACTAATGAAACCCTTGAGCCATAACATCATGAGTCATTTCCAAACTAGTTTCAAAATGAAAGAGAACGAGAGAGAAAAGTAAAACAAGATTTTAAAGTTTCAAAGCATCTATTTAAGGGAAACCATTTTCAAACAAGATTTGGGGCCATTTTCAAACAAGACTTTTAGAGTTTAAAAACCTCTATTTGGGAGGAAGCCATTTATAAATTTTTAAAGTTTTAATGCCTCTATTAAATGAGCATTCAAAGATTTTTAAGATTTGTAAGACCTCTGGACATAATCTCTAAGACCTCTAGATAAAACATTTTAAATTTTTAAACTTTCAATGCCTTTATTATGAGGAGCATTCAAAGATTTTTGTGACTTGTAAGGCCTCAGGGCATAATCTCTAAAATCTTTAGGCAAAACATTTTAAATTTTTTAAGTTTCAATGCCTCTATTACGAGGAGCATTAAAAGATTTTTGAGATTTGTAAGACTTCTAGGCATAATCTCCAAGACCTCTGAGCATAATTTCCAAGACCTCTGGGTAAAATATTTTAAATTTTTAAAGTTTCAACACCTCTTTTACGAGGAGGATTCAAAGATTTTTAAGATTTGTAAGACCTCTAGGAATAATTTTCTAGACCTTCGTGCAAAACATTTAAAAATTTTAAAGTTTCAATACCTCTATTACGAGGAGCATTCAAAGAATTTTAAGACCTCTAGGCATAATTTGTAAGTCCTCCAAGCAAGATTTGTAAGTGTTTTGAGCTAAATCTATTTTAATTTCAAAATTTGTAATACCTCTGGGCATGAACTCTTGTTTTATTTCCAAATTTTATTGAGTTTTCATTTAAATTTGTTTACAAACAATCAAGTTTATTAATTCACAAAAAAAAACAAAAAATAATAAAAAAACTTTTTTAAATCATCATCCAGTTAAAATTGTTGTCAATGTTTTTGCATTATTTCTAACTCTAAAAAATATGCAAAGAAGGGTAGTTGTAGACATCAAATTTTGTCCGAAACATTTTAATATGGTTGAATAGAGCCCATTTAAAGCTTGTAAAAAGGCCCTTTAAGAGCCCATAAAATGCATTGATATTTGCCTATAATAAACAAAGAAAAAGGAAACCCATATGATTACTATCAAACTCTTTCATATGATATTTATGTGGATGATACCTTTTCACGTAGATGTATGAAAAATAAAACGAGTAAACCCTAAAGTCAATTCTAGTCAAAATTGCATAAAACTTGATCAAAATGAATAAAACGGAGTTTAAATAAAGTTCACAGCCTAATTGGAATCAATGTGGTTTAAAATCAAATTGGTGACTTTTAAAACACTAAAAGTTTTTATTGTACTAGGGAAATGTGAAATTACCAAAATACCCATATAAAGGTATTTTCGTAATTTGGCTTTTTCGAGCTTGAATTTTCATGAACTTTTTTAAATCTTAATTTCATAATACTTCATGATTTTCAGTGCATTTGAAATTATAGTAGTACCCAAGGAAGTGTGAAATTACCAAAATACCTTTAGGTATTTTTGCAATTTGGCCTTTCCGAGCTTGGATTTTCATGAAACTATTTAGATCTTAGTTTCATAATATTTGATGATTTTTGATGTATTTAAAATCATAGCAGTATTTCAAAAAATATGAAATTACTAAAATACTTCTATAGGGGTATTTTCATAATTTGACCTTCCCAAGCTTGAATTTTCATGAAACGTTTCAGATATCAATTTAATAATATTTCATGATTTTTGGTGCTTTAAAATCTCAAAAATGGGCCTAGGAACATTGATTTCTAAGAAAATGGCCAAAATACCAAAAACTTTGCATTAGGGGTAAAATGGTCTTTTCATGGGTTTAGAGGATATAAAAAATCCAACCTTTGTAGTGAATAATATGAACCATTGAATCTTTTATTGAAATTAATGCAATGGCCAAAGGTGGTTCCTTGAAAAGAAAAAAAGAGAAACTTTGACCTTAAAATGAGATCTCACCCAATAATTAATATATGAGATTTTTTTAGAGGGCTAATTCTTGAAGGCTAGAAGGAGCTTGGTAAAAGAAGGGAAGAGGAGTTGGAAGACAAAAAGAAAGAGCCAAACACATAAAAAAAGAAGAGGGAAAGAGGTTGCTAAAAAAAATAAAGAAAGTCAAATAAAGGATGAAAGAGAAAAAAAAAAGAGGATAAAAGACGAGTTTGCTGAATAGCTAGGGAGAAGTCTGCTAAAGAAGAAGAAAAAGGCTAGTGGAGAGAAAAGGGAAGACGTAAGAAGAAAAAAAGAAGGGTCCACAAAAAATGGTAAAGTTGAAACTTGTGGTAATTTTTCATCTTTGTAGTTTTTATTCTTCTGTGTAAATGACACCATAGCAGGCAACATTCTTGTTGACCTTGCTTTCATTTCTTAGCTCCATTGTAGTTGTTTTCTCCTTCATTTTATTACTTTTAATTCCAGCCTTATTTTATTTTCCTAGCACTTGCATTTTGTTCTTCATTTAAGCTTTGTTTACTATATCTTAATTAATGAAATTTCCTGTTTTTGGTTAAGCTTAGTTTTTTTTTTAAAATTTTCCAAGTTTAAATTACTTTGCTTTCAGCTTGTCTCTT